GTTAGCTTCATTTTATTCCTGTTTTCCGTGCTCTTCAAGTTTGCTCCTCCAAACTAGCCCTTGATGAAGAGAAACTAAAATTATTTAAAAGCAATAGCTATTGACAGGGGCTTTTCACCCAACATTATTAATCAAGCAGTTAAAAAATTCTCATCTCAACACACTAAAAGCCACACTCTTATTTTAGGAGATTATAAAATTCTGTTGTCATTCCCTTCTTTCCATCAATTAGCTATAAAGTTGCACATATTTTGCAGAAATTTAACTTCGGGTTAATTACTCTCCCATCAATAAAATTCCAACTTCTATACTCAAGGACCCCATTCCCGGATATGAATTCCTGGGGTATTTATAGGTTCCTTGCCAGTGCGGTTTAATTACATTGGCCAACCTAAGAGAGCCTTAAAATTTCGTCAAAGAAATGAGGCATTGTTAGAAAAAAGGAAACACAGAAGTCTTCTGTTGTCAACATTGTTGGTCGAAAACACACTTTCAATTTTCTGCTGCCAAATTATTCAAAAAACATCTTCCATTGGAGAACTGGATTTTCTAGAGGCATTTCACATTCATAAAAATCTTTCTGTTCTAGTTAACGATCCTAATTCCAATCCAATTTGCCTTCGGCTTTTAGAGAAATTATGTTTTGTTCTGGTTTCGCCAACAGATGGCGCCACTTGCTTATCTTGTCCAGGCTTTCTTATCTTATCTAGACATTATTTCCTATCTTATTCATTTGCGGTTTGCAGCTGAAGATGATGGTTCGGTAAAACCATCGAAACTAGTCCTGTGAAAATTTTGCAAATTTACGCTGATTTTTGTTGTTTGACTTCTGAATTAGATGGCTTTTGTGTCACATCTGTATGTAAGGGCAGAATAAAATACTCTTTTCCCCCAAAAAAAGTATAAAACTGCTTTAAAATGAATTCTGAAGAATTTTTCGTGGTGTCTACGTATGTATGTACGTACGTATATCGCATAACTCAAAAACGAGTAGACTCAGAAATTTTGTATTATATAGGACTGCTGTAACATGTAGATATGTGCACCTCATATTTTGGTTGCAATCGGACGCACCAAACTTATATAAATATATTAATAAATATATTCACTTTGTTACCCTGCAACAATCTCAAATTCTTTACTCTTATATGTTTGTAAATTGTGCATTTTTTGATTTAAAAATGATTGAATTATGTTGTTCTTATCTTCCGGTTAGGGTTTTCATGCCTTTAGGAAATCTGCAAGCAATATTTGTAGAATTATCAACAATTTAAAAGCTGTTCAAGTGCAGTTAAGCCTAATTTTTGAATAACATGACGGAAATGTTTGTTTACATTTGAAACAGCAGAATAGTAGATTTTTGCCAATCTAGAGAGACTATGCTTCGCAAAAACAAAGATAATGCCTTCATTATTGCGAATTAAATCATGCTTTATCCTTTCTGGAATTTTTCGAGGAAATGAGTGTTAAAGATTTACTTTTTAATTTTCAATACAGACATCTTGAGTTTTAATGTATTTTTGCTTTGTCGCAAAGTGAGAACTGAATTAATTGAATGAGAAATACTGAATCGTCTGTGAAAACTTTCTTTTTTATTTTGTTTGCTTAATTTCTTTTATACAGCGTTCTAGATTTATTATAGTATTTGAGTACAACATGTGGCAACGATTACATAATTCTTCAAATTATATAAATTTTGAATAATATAAATTCTGAAATATAATATGAATGAAATATAGCGCTGTTAAGTGAACCTAGCGCCACAGTGTCACTATGGTAAACGAATAGAGTGAATTTTAAAAAGTGCATTTATTCTATTCTATTGCACTATCGACGAAGTAGATTTAATTGAATACAATAAGTTCAAATGAAATGCAAGAAAAAATGCGTATAATTTTTAATATTTCATAAAAAGGAGTTATGTGATGTACACATCATATTTTTTTTTTATATATTAGGAATTGAATAACAAGAATATGGCAACCTTTTATGCTGACATTATGGTTGGCGATGATTAACATTACGCTTGGTGATAATTTTAATTATGAATAACTGATATGTTATTCACCATAAACCGAGAAACGGTGACAGAATATGTCGGCACCGAATGGCAGAATTTCAGGAAGACGAAATTTTTGGAATTTGGAGAAGCACCGAGCAGCAAAATTAAGGGATAAGAAGTTTTTTACAATTTAAGGAAAGCACTAGGATTCAAAGTTTAGGCACAGTGAGAATTTAGAACTTAGGAAGGTGCTTTGTAGCAGAATTTAAGACCCGTGGATGCTGCACCAGGCGGTATCTATGCGCCGGCCCTAGATACAACCTTAAGTATATTGGGAATTTATTCAGGACTCAGATCAGTTTTAAGCATGTACAAGAAATAAACATAGGTATAGTAAATAACTAACACAATCCGGGCTTAATTCAGTACGCAATAGGAGCAAGATAAAATTTAGCGAAACAAACTGGCTTTCGTCGCCAATCTTCTGATACACAACCAATAATGTATAACGGACGCTATTAAGCTAGGCTAAAATTATCTTTACTCATTCTAAGGCATTCCATTTAATGTAGCAGACTGCACTGCTCTCTAATCTTCTAATTTGATCCAGCTTATTATTTTTTGCAGACTGTTATTATTAAGGTAATTTTATAAAAAATAAGCTTGAACTTTTGATTATGCCGAAAAGAGATTCCAATTCTGGAGCTGCCAAAGGATCTACAAAGTGAAACCATGTTTCGATGTCCATTAAACAAAAATTGGATAAAGGCAGAGGAGTATGGCATTGGAAAGTCAACTGTATATGACATAAGAAAAAGGAACTTTTTGAATTTTTTGCGGAAGCAACTTAAACAACTTACATTGAGAGAAATGTTTAATAAAATAAACAAATAAATATTAAGCTTTTTTTTTTTTTTTTTTTTTTTTTGTAAATTTGATACATTTTATATTTTTAATTTAATAATTAAATGTATAATTTCTGCATGCCATCTTGCCAGATTTAAATTGATGATCTAATTTTCGGAAAAATTCCAAATCCGGAATCGCCGAAGTCCCGACGAGTCTGGATTTCGGACTTTGTACTGTATATGATTATGTGGCAAGGTATACGAATATGCAGCTGTGCTAACATACAATCACAGAGCAAGGTATAAGAAAATGCAGCCAAATTTTGGCAAGATATTTCGGCTGACTGCCGATTTACTCTCAGGAATCCCTATAACAAAGAACTATCCAGGAAAGTTTTTTAATGAAGAAGATAATTCAGAGAAAGAACAAAATAAAAAAACATCTGGAAATATATCAGAAGCAGAGTCCAGAACATGAATATGAGACATCAAGTTGAAAAATAATGCACAGCAAAGATACCTGAGAAAGTTACAGCATCGTGAAAATTATATAATGATATATGAAGCCTTTTATTGCTGATTCTAGAATTGCAGCCAACAAGAAAATGCATCTTGCTCAGTTTGATCTTTTGTTCAGCATTTTCATACGACACACTTGAAGAATGTATACTGATAGTTCTGACAAAGTCTTTAAGCTGAAACATAGTATATATGGATTAAAACAAGCATCATGCTACTTGAATAAGTATTTTGGAAATTTTATGTCACAATTTCAAGACAAGTGAAATTGATCCACGCTTATTTATAAGAAACAAACGTGGCAAGAAGCTTACAGTGTGCTTAGATGTAAATGATGGTTTTGTTGCATCAACAGATCTATAAAATTTCTAACAGAATTGAAGTCGATATTCAGAATGACATCTAAACCTGTCTAGAAATTAAGCATCTTCAAGATCGAAGCATCAAAATTAATCAGCAAGTTTATAAAAAAATCGTTCAAAAATTTTGGATGGAAGATTTCAAACTAGTGCCAACTCCCATTCTAAAATAAATAACTTGAAGGGAGACGGGGAGGGAATAAGCCAAATAGAGAAATTTTCTCCTGTACAGAAGCTGTAGGAGCTTTAATGTATCTTATGTTAGGTACAAGGCCAAATTTAGCATACTGTGCTGCCATTCCTTCATGCCACATTTAAAATCTTTTGAAAGACAACTGGATCAAGTGGTGGAACTATATTATTAAATTAGCCACAGGCAGTCCATTGTGACAACTTTGACAACTAAAAGAAAGATAACTTCAGGTAGTAAACTAAAAGAAAGATAACTTCAGGTAGTAAACTAAAAGAAAGATAACTTCAGGTAGTAAAGTAAAAGAAAGATAACTTCAGTAAGTGTGTTAGAGAAGTAATCTGGTTAAAACGTTTTAGTGATGTTACCAAGTTATATGAAGTTCCATAATTTAAGTACACTGCTATGGTTAGACTGTCACAAAACTTGGAGTATCATCAACATACAAAATATGTCAATATCTAGCACATTTTCATACAAGAGAAAGTAGTAAAAAAGCTAATCATTGTGCAGAGATACTTACTGAGGAGCAAGTTGCTGACATATTGACTAAACCTTATTTAAACCAAGACTGTTGATTCTTTGTGATACGATAGGACTCTTGCGACTTTCATTTCTAGTTATTATTATTTGTGTTTTTTATTGACAAGGGGAAGTATTAGAGTATGTTAAGAAAATAATAATAATATATAATTCAGTTTAAAAGTTTTCACAACACAGTCCTGCGTTGTCATTTGGAATTAATCATTTGCTTGCATTTTGCATAGCTGTAAAATTCCAAAGGTATAGTTATTTTAGTTAGTTAATCCAATTAAACTCATTTTTGCTCTATTTTTTTATTTAGTTAAAAAAAAATTTTATAACATTTTGGTCCATGCATTATGGATTGGCAATGCTTACAAATTTGTCAGTGAAAATTCACTAAGAGACTTTTCCCCTTTAGCATAAGTTTCCTTATATACTTCTTATATTTGCTATGATATTATAATGAATTTAAAGCTTAAAATTAGCTTACAGATGAAACTATTCCATAGCCAATAACACAAGAATTAGAAACGGAAATTTTACAAAAAGAGACTCACCAGCTATTATCCCACCAATGATGGCACCTAAAGGAAGAGAGCTTCCAATCCACGAAACTTCTGTAACATCAGGTTTGAGGTAGCTAGATTTCATGCTTTCTATTGCTGCTGAAGAATACGTTGAAGCTATACCTACAGTCACAGCATTCAGAAATGCTGCATTTACAGCAAATAATACTTTTCTACGTGCCATCTTGAGCTTGTTTCTAAAAATATTACAAAGAAAAAGCAAGATCTCAGAAAAGCTGAAATTAAAACTAAATAACACAAAATTTAAAGAAAGTTATTAAAGCTTGGTTACATTACATCCACATTTTACTGTGAGAAAATAAGAGCTCATTCTTTTCATGCAGTAAATCCAGACATCCATTATCCGGAATGATCTATAATCCGGACCTCAAAGCAACAAACTTTACGCATGCGCATAGAGAACGAGCATACATTACGTTCATATGCTTTAAGCATGCACACGTTGAAAGAAATGTTTAATGAAGTAAACAAATAAATATTAAGCATTTTTTTGTAAAATTTTATACCCTTTAGATCATAATTGCTTTTTGTTTCACATATTTAATAGTATAATTTCTGCATGCCATCTTACCAGATTTAAATTTAATATTTAATCTATAATCTGGAAAAACCCCTAATCCGGAATCACCAAAGTCCCGACGAGTCCAGATTACGGACTTTGTACTGTATTTGATTTATAATCTTAAATCACAAGGTTACATTACAGCTAATTTAACTTAAAGAATATAATTTTGCATAAACAAATGTCATTTCCATGCTTTATATTTTGATTTTCTTATGCTATCTAAGAATATAAGAATATTTTAAAGGAAAATTTTTACCGTTCAATTCTGAATATTAAAAAAAAGTTTTATACATTTTATGGGTTGTGACGAAATCGAGTTTCACTCATGTTTATTAACTGCATATGCTGCACTTCAACAGAAATATTTCATATTTCGTGCTAGTTACTGTGAAATCTGCTCAAGTAAACTATCCTTAATTAGATATAACCTTGCTTAAATGAAATCACATGGAAAACAATAAATTACTCAATTTTTTAATCAGTTTGTTTCACTGTTCTATTTTTCATGTACATAGACACATAATTTTACAATGAAAACCAGTGAAATCTTATTATTTTATATATTATAGTTATATAAAAGAAATTCCATTCATATACAAATTTTTAAGACTAGGTTAAGTACCTTTATTACAGGGGTGCTGGAAATATTTACACATCATGCATATATTCATGCAACATAAAGATGTAACAAATACCCTCAGCTGAAATAGTTCAGAATATTTTAGCTATTGAGTACATTTAAAAGACGTCATTTCAAGCTAAAATATACAATCTATTCATTACGAAAATATTGGTAATTTCATATCACTACGGTCAAGTCTTTAATACGGATGTCCATAATCGGAATGATCTATACAACCTCAAGCTAAAAAACTTTCTGCGCATGCGCATAAGCGTTTGTACATGGCGTTTACGCAGCGCATAATGTATAGCGGATGGTATAGAAGCTTCTAAAATTGGTTGATCTTTACATATGGTAACTTGGCGTTTTTTGGCGACGACCAACCTCCTACAGCAACCCTCTATTTTTTTTTCCGCCGCCATTTTTGTCTTCACGAAGTAAAGACATGTTTCTTTTCTTTTTATCTACGAACACTTCTTCCAACAATCTACTAGCCGAATTACACTTATGCTAGAAATTTTATCTAACAAAAACTGCTTAATCATGACAAATATTCACTGCAAAATTGGGAAAAAAGTGCACAATACCATACTCCTTACGCGTTTTTCAAAATAACACATACACATAAACCATGTACACGCCGCCGACTTATTTTTACTTAAAAAAACATCCCAGAATTGCAACAAAATGGCATTGCGCACACTCTTCACTATATCCATGTACACTGCTTTTTCTCATAAATTAGAAAAAATTTCACGAAAATACATGACAATTTTCTCAATCTTTAAACCCGGTAAAAAGAACATATATGAAATTACCTGATCGCGAAAAAGTATATTACCCTTTCCAAATATGAACATTTCCCACATATAAAATAAATAAAATATCCAAAAACTTTTACCTCTAAATCATCTATTACATTATACACGTCACCAACGAATTGATACCGCAAGCATTACAAATACTTAGTATCAAATATTTAATTATTTCCATGCACGTTTACTTCAACTTAAACGTATACCAAATTCCTACAAACATAAAATTCACAAAATAACTATCATTTAATTAAAATATCACTAAACCATGTACACGTCGACTTATTTTTACTTAAAAAAAATCCCAGAATTGCACAAAAATGGCATTGCGCACACTCTTCACTATATCCATGTACACTGCTTTTTCTCATAAATTAGAAAAATTTCACGAAAATACATGACAATTTTCTCAATCTTTAAACCCGGTTGTAAAAAGAACATATATGAAATTACCTGATCGCGAAAAAGTATTTACCCTTTCCAAATATGAACATTTCCACATAAAATAAATAAAAATATCCAAAACTTTACCTCTAAATCATCTATTACATTATACACGTCACCAACGAATTCATACCGCAACCATTACAAATACTTAGTGTCAGATATTTAAATTATTTCCATGCACGTTTACTTCAACTAAAACGTATACCAAATTCCTACAAACATAAATTCACAAAATAACTATCATTTCATAAAAATATAATTAAATTCAAAAAACACTACTTAAAATATAAATGAGCACATACATTAAATTAATAAAAATTACTTACAATCCTAATTACTTTAAACTAAATCATGCTAATAACAATTTTCCAATAATACCAAATTCCTTTCCAACCTTACATTTAGAACAATGCATAAAAATAATACCCTCAAATAATTAAAATACTAACTTACCTAATCTTCTTCAAATCTTGATTACTGTCGATACCTTTTCTTCTTTCTGTTCAATCTTAAAATCATACTTATATTTCAAGCAAGTACCAGGTAAAATAAATACTTGATAAACATCTTCTATCTCGCACAACCTTAATCAACATTTTTACTACTTTTCAATACCACTAAATATTCGAATTCACTTATTACGGCCATGGGTCCAAAAATTAACGAACACTGTTTCAACAATACAGAATAAAGCAAATACAAAATTCCATTTTTTTTCCATTAAAGAACATTTTCGTCATTAATATCAATGCTCATTTCTCTCACACAAAATAATGCGTTAATCAACTACGGAAGTCTATAAAGGCCCAAAGTAACCTTTATGCCTCCAAAAATGTGCCCAAACTACGTTATATATTGTAGATAACCCTAAACAATTTCAGTTTAATTGCAGAGTAAAAATCTAAATTGGATAGGCATTATTTTTGCAGACACAGCAATTTTATAAAAGTAAGCTTGAACTTTCGATTATGTCAAAAGAATTTCCGATATTAAAGTTACTAAAGCGAAAATCTGTTACAAAGCAAAAAAGTTTCGAATTCTGAAAAAAAAATAATCGCATGAATAAAACATGGAAGCATATTGTTTCTCTAAACCATTCCGAATCTGTTATCAATTCACGATCTGCAGGGGGGGGAAATCACGGCAGCAAGAACTGGAAGTTGATTGTCAGCACTATCCTCATCTTCGGGCAGATGTTTTTATTTTATTCGGTTATAATTCTTACTAAATGTAGCGTTTCATCTCGATGTACTCGATATGATTTAAATCAATTCCGTCATTAAATATCACGAATACATAAAAATAGTTTTCTGGTTGCAATTTTCTATTTCGGACTACGAATGTACGCTTTACGCATCGCGTTTGAAAGAAATGCTAATAAAGTAAACAAATAAATTAGCTTTTTTTTTTTTTTTTTTTTTAATTTGATAACCTTTAGATCACAATTGCTTTTTATTCATAAATTACAGAGTCTTTTTGTATATTATAAAGTGAATAAAATAATTATAAAAAGATGTTACATAAAAATATATACTTTTTAAAACATGAAATTCATCTCACAAAAATTATTTTCTTGAAGTGGTCTATGAGATAAGAGGCATGACTTGAAAAGGTTTCAGAATTGGTTTAGGCTAGACTAACTGTTATAGGGAGCATAAGATTTGACATATTATATGCAGCTCACTAAAAAACTACATTATTACATTCTGCAATTTACAAAAAAAAAAAAAAAAAAAAAAAATTGGGTTCATTTTCATAAAATAGTTTTCTGGTTGCAATTTTCTAATTTCGACTATGCGTAATGTATGCTTTACGCATGCACGCGTTGAAAGAAATGTTTAATAAAGTAAACAAATAAATATTAAGCTTTTTTTTTTTTGGCTAATCTTTGGAATATGGTAACAAGTAGTTTGGCGACATTTTGGTTAAGGATGAAAAGTTAATTAGCTAAGACTTTTGTAGTGTACATGGATAAAGTCAAGAGTGTGCACAATGCCATTTTTGTGCAATTCTGGGATTTTTTTTAAGTGAAAATAGGTCAACGTGTATATGGATGATACTGTGTATGTGCAATTAAAAAAGCGGAAGCAGTTTGCGATTTCGCACTTTCTCCCAATTTCGCACCTAATCTCGTCATGGATTAAGCATTTTTGTTTCATAAAAGTTCTAGGATAAGCGTAATTCGGCTAGCAGATGTGGGAAAAAAGTGGTAAAAAAAAAAAAAAAAAAAAAAAAAAAACATCAGCTTACTTCGTGAAAATATAATGGTGTCCAAAACAAAACTAACAGGTTGCTATAGGAAGGTTGGTTGCCAAATTTTTGCCAAAAAATTGCCAAGTTACCATAATCCAAAGATTAACCTTTTTTTTTTTAAATTTAATACCCTTTAGATCACAATTGCTCTTTATTTCATAAATTACACAGTCTTTTTGTACATTATAAAGTGAATAAAATAATTATAAAAAGATGTTACATAAAAATATATACTTTTTAAAACATGAAATTCATCTCACAAAAATTATTTTCTTGAAGTGGTCTATGAGATAAGAGGCATGACTTGAAAAGGTTTCAGAATTGGTTTAGGCTAGACTAACTGTTATAGGGAGCATAAGATTTGACACATTATATGCAACTCACTAAAAAACTATATTATTACATTCTGCATTTTACAAAAAAAAAAAAAAAAAAAAAAAAATTGGGGTCATTTTCTATATATGAAACTTCTTATATTAAATAATTTAAGCAAAATGAAATTACACCTTAAGACACTTGGTTTATATTAAATGATGGCATTAACAGAGCATGTTGAAGAAATGCATAATACAGAATATAAAAGTCTACGGAATCAGATATATCAATTTAGGCAAGCACATGGAAGTATGGAACATAAGTGACAACTGCAATTTTATGGCGGGAAAAGTTGATAAAGATTGATATGGTGTTATAAAGATGTTGATATGTTTATAAAGTTAATATGATGCTATATATCTACATAAAATGATCGCTGAATAAACTAGCCTATTTAAATAACAAAGGCAAATAACTTTCGTATGTTTTGCAACATCCTCATAAAATTAACTTGGTGAATCTTCGGATTAAACTTTAAACCAACAATTTTACCTGCTGTTATAATATGAAGGGTTTCAAATTAAAATAAACTTTTTTAGAAATATTCAAATGCTATTTTAAGCAAAAATTTAGAAAATCAAGAGCAAATTTAGATTGTTAAAAATAAAAGACGACATACAGAGTCTCGTGCAATATTTGCATGCGAATCTAAATAATCTCTATTGTGTTTCGGAATATTAATCATTAAGTACACAAAATGCCAAAAATAATCTAATGACTACGTAATAAACAGTTCCATAGAGTACTAATGATGCAGGATTATAAATGAATAAATTAAAATTTTAAATGAAAACATGTGAACTGATGCACAAAATTATTCATTATTTTAAAACAGGTTTTTCATACCACTTCTCTTCGAACTTTACAAAAATATCACAAGCCTAGTTAAAGAACACAATGCATATAACTTTTTCATGAATTTGAAAGATATATATATTCCCATCAAAATGCGTATCGTATAACCGAATCTTCCACAAGACACAAGCCACAAGACAGCTTCAACAATAGTCTTTCACAACAAACATCAGCTGACTAATTTGCGGAAGTAGACACATAAAGAGAACGCATTCCTTCTTTTCTGTTGAAGTATAATTTATTACTACAGTCAGAATGGGCGAGAAAACATTCGGCTTCGCTCATAGCGTTAAAAAACTGACTGATTGAAGACTGACTAAAAAAGACTGATTGAAGCTTAAAAATCTGGTGAAATAGTTCAGTAATTACCATAAATTGCGCCGCCTAAATCTCGAAATTTACGAATAAGCATAATAAGTCAGATATAGAAATGATAGATTTAATAAGGAAGAGATGAGCATACAAGAATTAGATTTCTAAATGTACTTAAATGTTATTTACTTAAAAAAATGACATATCATATGAAATCAGATAGCATGAAAAGTTTGTCGTATCCGTCTTTCAATATACCTTCAGGCATATCATCAAATTCCCTTTGCATCTTCACCATCTCGTTCACGTTTCAGGCACATATTCGTTCACGTTTCAGGCACATATTCCAACAGCCGTACTATTTCAACAAGGGTACCCACAAGGGTCCTTACTTCGTCTTAATCTCTTCAAGATTTATGTGAACGACATTCCAACCATGCCCATCGCTACTCTAGCCATGTATGCAGACGGTATAGCGATCCTAACTTAAAGTGCATTTGTTAGCCAGTTACACAACGATTAAAAGCCCACATCTCACTTGGCTTACTAAATGGAAAATTATGGTGAATGTGGATAAAACAAAGGCTATCCTCTTCACAAGAAAAAAGAAAATTCTGGAAAATCTCAATTTCTATGGAACATTAATCCTCTGGGCCAAGTAAGTCCCTTATATTGGGGTGATTCTCAATAATTCGCTCACATGGACCTCACACATTAAACCTATTATACAGAAGTTTCGAGTTCATAAAACTAAATTCCTCGAACCTTAATTGCTCGAAACAGCTTTACATCTATAGATAACAAGTTACTCATTTACAATTCCATATCGCGCCCCATGCTTTGCTATGTGTGTCCAGTCTGGGCATTTGCCTGCAAAAGTAATAGAAAAAGGTTGCAGATCGTAGATGCCACGTAGTACCTTCGTAATAACCGGATCCACGAGGAACTAAATATTGTTCAGCTCAGGACTCATTTCTATTTTCTTTCAGAAAGATTTAGTGAGAAGCAGACGTCTATAAACAATCCCATTATTAAAATCTCTTCTTATAATTACAATGATTTAGCAAATAGTAATAGGCCAATGACTGTCCTCAACAACTATATGACGTGAAATTGTAATCTTTTGTATTTGTTATACCTATGTATTTCTATAATATTTGTTTTTATATCTCACTTATGCAGTGTTGCTCCTCACCCCTCTCCAGTTTACGTAATTACCTAATGCGTCAATTGACTCGTAACTACCTATGTCATTCAATTTCTATGTTTCTAAACAAATAAACAGTTCGAACTAGCTTTTCTGGTCTGTGAATTTAGGGTGCTGTCTCATGTTCAATTATCTAATTTTTATTACATCTCTGTAAATTCAGTCAGATACAATCCCTTTTTCAGTTTTCTCTTACAACAATTAGGAAAGGTAGATTGTTCTACATGGGGTAGGGCCCAGGTGCCAACACTACCCCTAAAGCTCAAAATCTCTGTTATTCAGATCCATCAATTGATAAACCTCTTTCGTTCCATCTAGATTGTTAGATATACTACATTTTTTAAATGACGTTTGAATTATGTCTGGTTTAATTTCATACCATGCTTCTCACACACTATTTCTACACTCGCACATCTCATTCGGTCTCCTTTTGTAAATGTTTTTCCATCATCTAACATTCCAAGTATAGCCGCCTAGGCAGTATAGTGGTTAGGAAAGTCCACTGCAGTACCAAAGGGCCCAGGCTCAAATTCCGGAGAAGGCATGGATCTAACTTGCCTATCTCTTCATAGGAGGTAACGGTGGTCGCCTATTAGGTGCCTCCAAAATAAAATGATTACCGTGTTCAGCCTTACTAGTGGCGAAAGCCTAAAAAAAGGCTGTTGCCAGCAAAACAATTTTAACACAAAATTCAGCTTTTTCGCTAGTATTTTAAATTTCCTTTGAATGGTTTATTGATAGTCACATCGAAGAGCTGAATTAATGACGTTAAGCAGCCCGAAATAATTCCAGGGGTTGTGCCATACACTTTTATCACATTCTTCGTATTGTCCGTTAGGTGGCATCTGAACATGTTCCAAACTAAAAGATTTTCTGGAATCCTTAAGGCAACAGGACACTTTTGCCAAACATTTCTCATCCACAATTTTATATAGTTTTCGTCCGCACATCCTTTCTGATGAAACATGAGTGAAAACATCATTTGAGAAATTAATTTCGGCTTCATTTTTCTTTTAAAAAACCATGGGCTTTAATTTTGCACCGTCCGCTAAACAGAAAAGCATTATGTTGAGCTGAGATTTTTCATGATCTGTTGTTGTTATGTGAACCGTTTTTGTTCCTTTCTCATCAATTGTTTGATCTCTTGTTATATCAAACAGTACTAGAGTGTCATCCACATTTCTAGCATGTGACAGTAAATATATATATATATATATATATATATATATATATATATTGTGTTTTATAGGTAAATAACATATTTCTGGAAACAGCAGTTTGTTGCACTCTTATATGGCGCCTGTCTTCGCAGCAGGAAATGGAATCATCTAGTAGGACAACATCCCATATCACAAGTCTCTAATTGCGTTGGAGTGGTTCCAAAAGTATAAGGTTGAGTTCCAATTAATGTCCTGGACACCTAAGTCGCCGGATCTCAATCTGATAGAACACATTTGGGATGTCATGGAGCGGCAGCTCAGAGCTCAGACACCACCATGTCAGAATATCTCGACTTTGCGTGACCGTTGCTTAGACATTTGATACAAACTGTCTCCCGTCATCTACCAAAATCTTGTGGCAGATATGCTAAGACGAGATGCAGGTATTTTGCATCTCAAAGATAGCAATGCCTTATTGAGTAGGTGCTCATAACGTTTTGGCTTTTTAATGTATATTTTGCATAGACCACTGCGATCCCCCTGACCTGACTTCCTTGAATTTCTACCTGTGAGGGTACATGATGTCCATGGTGCACGAGACGACAGGAACATCGGACATGAATCTAGTCGCCAGGATCATGGATACGGCACACACACCTGCTCATTTGGAACGGGTCCGTAAATCCATGCGTAGACGTTGTGAAGCATGCATTGTGGAGAATTGAAGGAATTTTGAATATCTTCTGCGATTCAACCATGTTCTTTAATAAAAATCATATTAAGACCTCTTCCCCCATCCTTCCTTTTTTTGCCCTCTACGCTTGCAAACATTGCCCCCTGGCGATCGCCATTTGCATTTTCGGAGCGAAGAGTCTATGCGAATCTTTTTTGTCATATGACAGATAAGCATGTTGAGTTTGGCAAAGACCTTTTGAGGCGCCCTGTATTAGTTAAAAGGTATGGAAAAAAGTTTTGCGTAAAATGAAATAAACAATAACAATTAGTAATATAGTGAAGTTTAAAGAAAGGCCATGTGTACAGTGTGAAAATATAAGAAATAAGGCTAAAATTAATAACGCATATTAAACTATAAATCTTAAAACACGTGGTAGAAAAGAAAAACTTACTTTTAAAATTAAAGCTCTTGGAAGCAATCATTAAATTCGGAAATAAGACGTACTAAGGGTACATAGGAATTAACTATTATATAAGTAGTAAAATAACTGGAATACAAAGGTTAAAAACCCTAAACTTAAAGGAATTTACCGTCAGTAAATCAATAGAAATCAAAATCATCTTATCAAATTGGGATTCAATCTTATCAAATTGAGACGCTTATCTCAATCGCTCTGGCCTTATCAGTTTGCTAGCTAAAAGCTGCGCCTGCAGGCTTTTTAGAAAACTCTAATAACGCAAATTCCAAGTTTTCAAAAATTCTTAGTCCTAAAATTAAGGAAAAAGGTTTCACTTACCTTTCTTCCTTCTATCTAATTCGATCCCGGTTGAGCTTGCCTATTCATATTTTCAGAAATCTATTCAATAAATCTACCTCTCAAAAGTAGAAAAACTTAATTTCAAATAATTAAACGTAAAAATGTACAGAAAAACTAAATCGAAATTATATTCGATATCTAGCATCTCATCCGTTCATAACTGCGCATTCTCCTTGCCGAAAAGTTAATAACAAAAATTTAAAGTCCTAACATTTCATCGTGCGCCATCCAGTGAAAACAGAATTGTCTAGTTATTAATTTATTTTATAAATAAAAATTAATTTATCTAGTTATTAATTTATATAGTTTTTCTTTATAGGCCGTTTACTGCGCGCCGCGCCATTTGCGTAAATTTGCTTTGTTTGTTTTAAAATGTGTAATTCTGAACTTAACTTCAATCGCGCTAAGTTTTGCTAATTAAAAATATGCTACCGAGACATATCATACGTATTATTAAAGAATCAATAATGCTTTTAATAATTATGCATTATTAATCAAAAATGCTTTTAATAATTATGCATTATTAATCAAAAATGCTTTTAATGCATTATTAATCAATAATAATGCATTATTAATCAATAATGCCTTAATAATGCATTCAACAATTAATTCATCTTCGGATTCTTGCTGAGCATATGTTGCAATAGATTTATTGTTTTATTTATAGCTCATTGTTAACAATTCTAGTAAATTACAAATTAAAAGTAACAGCATGAATTTCAGAAACAAACACAAAAACAAAACAATTCTATTTATTCATCAAGCTCCTCCGTGAAAAGTACCTTTTCTTACGTTGATATGGTAGGTCTTTTTAATTACAATACCTTTTTTAAATAAAATTCTGTAAATATGTAGCAAAATTCTGATAAAATTGATTTTAGATAAATTTGTAAGAAATGAGAAATTAACTTGCTTTCTTATTACAGTATTTTAAACGAATAAATGCGTTTTTCCCATAACAAATAAATCAAAATAATGTTTCCCCGTAATTAT